TAGTCCCCATATATTTGTTATAAATCAAAATTCTGCGTATGGTAGGTGTCACTTTTAAAGTGGGGCGAAATCGTGAGCGTATTTTACCACAGCGGTCTATTTTCTAATTTACGAAAATATTTCATTGAAACCACTCTAAAAAATTACATATTCGGCAAGGATGAGATACTAACCTGTTGTGTAGCAAAAATCAGGAAGCTGCGTTGGCCGGTTTTGCTTAAATCACGGTTTCAATATGACCACAAGTCACAGCAGAAATTTGCCGGGAACAGAGTGATACAAATGTACTGGTCTGGAATTTCGAATTAGAATACTGTATAAATTATGTTAATGAGGCTTTGGCTGGCTAACTGTAAGCCGGGTATTTGAAACCAAAATTGTCATCTAAGCGTTATGCCGTCGCTGATTGGCTGCTGTGCTGGAATGCCAATTTTTAGTTTCAAATACCCCCGGCTTAGTGTTCTATGTGTTCTATGCAATTTTGACAAAATCACTTTTTAAAAAACAATTATTGTGTAAAACTTTATAGTGTAGACTAAACCGGACTTTGATGTATTATAAGAATGTTGTGATAGCAGGACATAGCACATATTTCGTTAGATGAACAATTACAATTACTTATATGCATCGTACGAACCAAAACATTTCATTGTTTCATCTAACGACGAACCAGATGTTTGCTTACAAGAACAGCGTTTTTAAGGCATGATAAATCATAATGCAAACTATTCATCCGATCAACATACAACAATATTAAAAATTACACTGTTCTCGTCCATCTTTAAGATTATGTAATACAACAACAACGACAACACGATCTATGTTCAACATTTATTCTCGACGACGAACCAGATGTTTGCTCACAAGAACAGCGTTTTGAAGGCATGATAAATCATAATCCAAACTATTCATCCGATCAACATACAACAATATTAAAAATTACACTGTTCTCGTCCATCTTTAAGATTATGTAATACAACAACAACGACAACACGATCTATGTTCAACATTTATTCTCTCTCTCTCTCTCTCTCTCTCTCTCTCTCTCTCTCTCTCTCTCTCTCTCTCTCTCTCTCTCTCTCTCTCTCTCTCTCTCTCTCTCTCTCTCTCTCTCTCTCTCTCTCTCTCTCTCTCGCGAAAGCCAAAATACCGATTCACAAGTACGTAACAAAAACCATAAAAATAATAATAATAAAACCATTATACCATTATGTTCAAATCATGTTTTTCATTTTGTTAACATTTTTCAATTATTTCATCAACGTGTTCACATTTTTATATTATTTCGTTAGCATTTTTTAATTATTTCATCAATATGTTCACAATTTCATATTATTTTAGCATTATGTTTACATCATTTTTTCATTTTGTTTACATTTTTACATTATTTCATCATTATGTTGACATTTTTACATTATTTCATCATTATGTTGACATTTTCTATGCACTATATTTCTGTGAGTACCCCGGGCCTTCAGATGGGCAATCCGGCGCTTCAATTTTACTAGATCCTCTTGTGGATTTGCAATTTTCGATACCCCCTGCAAAGTTTCATTTTGGAAAGACATCGTGCAAAAATAAAATAAAATCCCGACCGGATAAATCTACTGGTATGTGCAATTTTCTTTTTCCTATTCCAGTTTTTGACAGAATGCTATCCAAGCATGAAGCCATCTTGTCGGTCGATAACTTGCTGGCATACTCCCCCCCCCCCCCCACGATTCTCACGGCGACCCCTTCTTCTTCCGAAACGGAACCACTGACTCATCTCTCATGTCTTGAGAACGCCGTGCGGAGAGTGTATTCGTCGAAGTCACCGGACGCGCGAGGAGCTCCTATTTGAACCAACTTGAACATTATGACCGGGATTGGCGATCGTGACACTGTTTCAGCATCGGTCGCTGAAATAGCTTGCTGTAACAATAAACTTGCATCGCGCAAAGCTTGAAATGCTTCCCTAATTTTGCCCACTTTTGCCGAGGGAGACAACACACTGGCGCAGACGACATTAACCCCGCTACGTGCGTCTATAATACCACCTAACATATCTATTATAATTACCTTTGACTTGTTTTTAGTAAATTCGCTATAAATAATTGTCAGCAGATAAAATATTAAAAGCTTATGTTTATGCTGTATTAGTACACTGGGATATAAATACAAGATATATTTATATGCCACAAACGCGTAGTTTCAAACCAAGAACAACTACTCGCATGTACTCGCGCCTACGCTAATCTAGGAAGTTTGTTCACCATACATACATTATCATAATTAGACAGATAAACATGTCAAATAATGAAAACATAATGACAAAATAATATATAAATGTGAAAAAAATGATGAAATAATGTAAAAATGCTAACAAAATGAAAAAAAGTTTTTGGCACTGATCTCACCACATAGCACAAAACATAAGATTTTAATCAGATTGAGCATCGACTAAACGCTTTGGTCAGTGATTAAAATACGCCACCAACGGAAATAATCAGTCGCGCTACTTTCATTCCACTTTATAGTAATTACTATGCCGTACATTCGGTGTTATCAGTGTTATTTCCTTGAGTAATCCCTCGAGGCATGGAAAATGGCCTCTTTGCGTCCAGTGAGCTTGGGTATTTTCAAATGAAGTTCGGTTCCAATGTTATCTCCTAGAGAAAATTGAAATGGTCATACATAACAAAACAAATAAAGGAACAACGAAAACACAAAGCTCCGAACTCATTTAAAACACACCCACTGTCTCGTCTTAAGAATGGCCTTTAATGAATTGAGCTATGGAAATTGGCATGTGGAAATAAATTTACCACTCTCACCACTGGTTATTATTATTATAAATTTGTTTGATTATATTTTTTTTATTAATTTCACCAAATTAATTTCAACCAAATCATTAAAAAAAAGCTCGCATAGATTTACGATTGTTATCATGGTTTGACGTTGTTTGTTTGCACAATACAAGGAAATAATGCATGTTTTTAAAAAAAATGGGAACAGACAATGTTCCCAGGCGCATGTTTATATAGATGACCTTTGGTTTTTATTCCAGTGAAAAATACCGGTGTTATTTGGTGTCATCTAATGGTGGTGATGAAAGCTGACATCATAGAGTGACAACTAAGGTGAACTTTGTATAGTACGAAAGTTTACGAAACCATTTTTAAAATATAATACAGAATATATTGCTTGAATGATGTTTGGTATGATTCTTGTACAACAATTGAAAATTACAGTGTGTCACAGGACTTTTTTTTGTTTAACCTTACATCATGGACTAGCGGTAAACAGTGTGAACAGAAATATTGACAGTTTTGAATCTCTTCAGCCCAAGCAGTTGTATACTAGTAATTTCAGTCGTTTTTGTAGAGGGTCGGCAAGGGGTATTTTCGTAAGCTATAATCAATTGTTTTTATTTTCCGTCGTAATAATGTAATTTGAATAAATAAAAAACGTAAATTCGTAGACATGGACAAGGTGTAAAATGTAATCAGCTATTTTATTCGTCCGTAATTTGTACAAAGATATTATTTTTTGTAAGCGTATAAAGCATTTTCCAAATTAAACGCCGTAATTTCCAATTTTGATTCTTAAACTCAAATTAACAAAAATATTATAAAAACGTAAAATGTAATTAGGAATTCACTTCATCTGTAAAGTGTAAAAACCTATTTTTTACTGTAAATTGAACTTTCATTTTATTTCCTGTAAAACGTAAAATGCCGTTTTTATTTCTCGTATTAACCTGTACCAGCTATCTCCCCCTTGCCACCCCCTTCATAGCTATCGTACTGTAACATCTACTGCTGTGAGCTGTAGTTTTCCCATTTACTGAGGAAGACTGTGCCTGATTTGTAATGTCCCCAGGACACCAAAATGAAAACAACTGATTTTGACAAGAAAATTCAGAATTATATTGATAATAATTTACAACGAAATGTATTCCATATGAAAAAATGTTAATTCTCTATATTCTATAATATTTTTGCGTTTTATTTGTCTTGATTATGACTAGAAGCAGAATAAAATTACAAACTATGTAGCGTGTTCAACAACTCATGTATGAACAATAATTTTAAATAAATTTTACTGCATTTGCCTGTATAAAAACGAACGAATTTCACAATGTCGAAAACGGAAAGTTCATTAGAATAAAATAAAAATGTCAAAACAAATACGCAGTATTGAGACAGACTGCACAGTGGCAATCCCATAAGCATTCAATGTCACCAAACAAGTACTTAGTCTGCAAAAAATTACCCATGATTCATTATTACAAAATGGCGATACTGCAGTACAACGTGTAAATTTCAGGAGGCGTTGAGGGGATCGGGGTATACGACATATTTAACTAAACGTTTTGATTTAGAAGAATTACAGACCATGACTGATTGGGCAAATTTCTCAAACACTGCTGCACAGGAGGTACTTTTTAATATACAATCTGCATGTGTGTGTACTTTTGCAATCACTCGACTTCCGGGATCAGATCTTGTTTATACTGTATCGTGTACTTTCAATGCGCGGACGAAATGTGACCCAGTATACTGGTTCAGAGTCACCAAATAATCGCGGTCTGTTTTTAACAAATGAATTATGTAATCGTATTTTGATGTTTTCAATTAATTGACTTGCAATTCCGTGCTTCAAATTGATTTAAGGGTAATTGGGGGTTTGCAAACTGCCAGTGAGTGGAGGCTGCGTGGAGGCCCACCGTTCCCTGGGGATTTTTTTGGTAAAAGGATTGTCATGAGTCACAACATAGAGTTTTTAAGTTATATGGTTATACATAACAACACCGTTCCCCAACACCTGGTGTTGAGCGACGGTGATAACAGTAACATATTTGTGAGAAAAAAAGCAAACGTCAACACCAAATTTCAGAGGGCGGGGGGGGGGGGGGGCAAGTAGAGATTGGTTGTTTTTAGATATGCATTTACTAGAGAGTAGTTGTAAATAGTTATTGATTCTGCATATAATAATATAATGATAAAAATAAACATATAATCGTATCCTTATTTAATTGATAAATGTGTTTTATTGCAGGCGCTTTGTTACATAGATGAAACACTTGTCATGAATAAGTGTATTTGCCAAGATTCATTCAAGTGTGTTTTATCATATGTTTTCAAGATAGAAAAACGAATTTCTGTATTTGTTTTATTCATAGTCTTCATAGTGTCTCATCCATTATGTAACTGGACTAAATGATGTTTATTCTTTTAGGGTGATGATAGAATTGCTGATAATGCGGTCGGTGATTGGGGAAATGATGAAGACGATGATTTTGGAGGATTTGAGACTGCAGATCCTCCAGAAGTTGCCAGTCAAGCTGTTCAGCTAGCCAGTCCATCCCCATGGGCCAGCTTCCCACCTACTGGTAAATTAAATAGTTTTTGTTTGGAAGGTTATTTGTATGTTGAACTTTATGTTGATAAAATCCAGGATTTATACTTGTGTAATGTAACTGTGATTAAAATACAATAATAATAAAATAATATATTAGTTAATGTAGATTTGTTCTCCTTCCAGTTGCCAGTCCTGGTCAGCCAGACCTTCTACAGGCTCAAAGTCTGCCACAGCCATCCGCATGCTCATTGGATTCTGACCCAATTTTTGTCAACAAAGTATCATCTGTATTCTCGGAGACAAGTCATGACAATCCCCCAGAGATAACCTCCCAAGTGTTGCCACCGGAAATGCCGACAGAGGTTCTCGGGGCGTGTGGCTTTGCAGAGCCAGAGATCACCTCCTTAGCCAGAATAAGGGAGACCCCACCTCCTGAACTCACCACTGAGGCTGATGCAGCATTTCACAATGCCAATAAAAACAATGTTCTTGAGGATTTTAGACTAAGTGATGAAGACTTGTTACCAACATTTGTTGCCGGGAAACTTCCCAATAAGCCGGATACATTTTCTTTAGATGATTTTGAGGTATGTAGTGTGTGTAATTTATTTTTTGTGTTATTTTGGTTCACAGACACTATTCTTTCCGTCGTCTACATGTATGTTGCATGTTAATTTCATCAGCATTGAATAATTATCCTTAACGGAACATGTCATTAACACATGTGAACTATTGTATATATGTAGATATCAAGCTGTCCATACTTTTTTTATAAATGAATCCATGTGTACAGTGTAGTATTCCCATAATGCATCTCACTTAGAACACAAGAACAATGGAAGGATATTAGCTCCTTGCAGAGAAAGACAAAACAAAATAATATTTTGTTTGCAACAAATTCTCTTTGATGTTTGTTTCCACCACCCCAGATTCCACTGCCATCTACTCGTAGTTCTGAGGAATTTACAAGCAAAGAAAAGACAGTTTCTGTTCAGCCTAGTATATCTACGACAACACAGACTACGCCAGAATATAAAGCTAGTGACGAACTACATAAGAAAGTTGAAGAAAAATTAACAGCATCTGAAAATGAGAAAGAACGACTAAAAAAGGTATAATTGGTTTCTTGTGTAAGTCATCAATATATAATGTATATCACTGACTGTATGTGACCTCATCATGGCTGTTGCATGCTGGGACTTGGTACCTTGACTAGTCATCATTGTCAAAAGTCATTGCCCCCCCCCCATGTGAGTTGTAACAATCAAGAATTACTAGTTTTACAGTGAATTAACATAACCCTGTCTCATTTCTCCCCTAATTTTGTGTGTTTGTTCTAGGAATTGGAGGATTTGCGTGAAAGGAATGCAGCAATGGAAAGGGAAATGAAAGACACTCAGTTGGCAGCAGCTGAACAACAAAAAGTTTACGAAGAGATGCAGACTAGACATTGTAAAGTACTAGAGGATGTCAAGAGAGCTGGACATGATACATTGGTGGTCATTGTTGAAGAGTACAAGGCAAGCTATTCTGAATAATAGACCACCTACCGTCTGAGTTGTTGTTAACAAATAATAATGGAAATGAAAAGATGAATATTATATTTTTTTATGTGTTCACTTTCATCTGTTAGCTCAGTGTGAATTTGATAGTTGTTGTAGTTTATGATTTTGTATAATCTTGGTGTGATTGGTTCAAATTACGATAGATGGGCAAATTACTTATCTGGAACACGTCAATTGACTATTTTCTGATCACTGCGAGATCCTGTGTTATGCATGAAATTGAACGTGAAAACAGGACAAACAATGGTCACAGTGTCATAACATCAATCATATTAAGTCAAAACATCGTGCAGGATTTGGGCGGTGTTTTCACACCTATTAATATTCTATACACATTTGACGATGAAGTAGGGGTATTTTAGTGCAATATTCCCAAAGATCGGCATTTCGATATTGAAATATAAAAAAGAAATTCAAAATCAAAACATTGATTTTTTGTCATTCACAGGAACTGTGCAAGGTGGTTGTTGCACAGCAAACTGAAGCCAGTGAGAAACAACTTCAGACTGCGGTACAGAGGGAAACAGAGACTTCAAAGACAATGCTGCGAGCACAGGTAGGAACATTCAGCAAAAAAACAATTAGTATAATTGTGTATTGAATATTCCTTAGCTTAAGCTTTGAACGACCTAATTTTTTTCTCCAATTTGCATACATTTTGATAATTTATTAATTAAAAAAATTTGGAAAATTCTCTGCAGTTTTATTTTGTGAAAGTTGAAGTATGTGACATCTGTTAAAGATGTTGAAACTAATGATTCACTTTGCTTTGTCTTTAATAGCATGAGCGACTCATGAAAGTAGTGGATGAAGAAAGATTACAGGGAGAGAAAAGATTGAAAGAGATCTTATCGGGAGAGCAAGAGAAATCACAGGCACTAGTCAAGCAGTGTGTGCTTGAAGAACGAGAGAAAATACAAGAAGCAATACAGAAAGCTGTGGAGGTTTGTATTTTCACTTTATCTAGCATTCAGGATTCTGTACTGCTTGGTGTTTTATCACTCTGTATTACATGGTCTTGTTCATAGCAAGTCATACAATACTCACAATCCCATTTTGATACCCCTGAATGGCAAGGTAAATGTTTCATCTGAAAAAACGTATAGTACTGAAGAAGTTGCACTTGTTTGTGCTCATTTGTTTGTGTACATAAGCTGTAATGGTGTGTCTCATAAAACCATCTTTGAACAAGCCATCATTCAGTTGACGTAATCACATCGAATACCCATGTGCACCCGCAAATAGACAATGGCAAAGGTGTTCAGTGTTGACATGTATTACAATGTTTTTACTTTTGTTGTTGATTATTACGGTATTTTGATACTTACTCTATATTCTGTTTAATATTAAAGGCGCATATAAAAGCTGTGTTTCTGTCCTATTTTTAAGTTAATGTAATACTGTGTCAAAACTACTTTTGGTACCAAATAATGATGGTGATAAGTCATCTAACATGGCATTTATTTATGGAAAATGAAATTTTGGTCAACAGAACATTCATTTTACAGCCATCCAGGTGTTATTTGCATATGCATAGAATAAACATCCTACAATGTCATTTCAGCTCAGTATTACCGTACATGGATAAAAAAAATATGAAAAAAGTAAAAAAAAATGTAGCTCTTGATCTTTTAAAATTTTGCCACTAAAAAGAGTTTTCAATTTGATAAATTGAAGGCATTTACGAAGATGAAATTTTCCTTGATTCAACAAAATTCAATAAAAGTTATAATAATTCACACAATTAGAGCACAATCCAGTATACGACTAAAGTGGATGCCGTAGATAGGTGATATGTCTGATTGATATAATAAAAAAATACTATATTATACCATATTTGTTTTTTTATTTACTGCAGGATGCAAACCGGCTAAACCACACACAACTCGAGATGACATTACAAGAGGAGAGACAAAGTACCAAGCAACTTCTGGAAGAAGAGAGAAATAGGTCTTCAAAACTTTTAGAAGAAGAAAGACAAAGAAGTAAAGAGACGTTGGAGACTATGTTAGAGGAAGAAAGACAGAGAAGCAGGGTAATTATAAATATGTATAGTGAGTCAGTGAACTGTCATGTTCTCGGGGAATGTACCATAGGTTAGGGACATGGTTATACAACTAGTAGTAAACCCCTTAACTTACTCTAAATTCTGACTTTGTGATACCTACCACCCAATCCACATCATAAATTTGTCTGAGATGTGTGTCACTGTGTTAAAGTTTTTCTTTGTTACGTGGTGTTAATAGGAAGCAATACAATCAGCATTAGAGAAGGAACGAGAAAAACAGGAAACAAGAATTCTGCAAGTCGTAGAAAAAACGAAAGAAGACATTAAACAGTATGTGCAAGAACAAAAACAGGTAGGTTAATTGTCAGCAGTGTTTTTACATATTCTAATACGATGTATTTATTAATTGTTTTATTCCAGTCATATTTACTCATTATTAGCTGATGACCCAAATATTGAAGTGTTCATCGCAAACGACAAATTTGACGTTAGCAATGTTGCTCTAATGACGCTATACATATAGCTAATCAATCAAAATATAATTATGTTTTGTTGTCAAAATCATTTCTGATATTGTGATAATTATCATGACTGGTATCACTTCTTCTCGTATCAACAGGCTGATACAGCTCTAAGGCTGAGGTCACTAACAAGTATGGACTTATTCTTGGAAAGTACAAGACAACAGCTTAAGCTACTTTATATGCAAGAGCATTCTAAGGAGTCTGACGGTGGACCCCCTTAGTGAAGCTACCTTTGCAACATGTAGTCAATTAAAGTCAGCCATTCACATTAAGTTTTTTGTTCTGAAATATTTCCAATGTTTGTTTCACAAGTCCTTGAATTATTACTTTGCTGATATGCTATATGATTGAGAGTGATTGTCATGTTACCACACCCACACAACCAATAAGTATAGCAAATCTCAATATGTCATTTTTTCAACAGTCTCAGTCTCTGTGGAAAATTTGTAGTACGTCTAGAAATCCACTTTTTTTGACAAGATGAATAAAAAAGCAGGAAGCTTCTGTCGAAAGTAAGCACGATCAGATACATAAATTAAACCTTTTTCTAAATACTATAGACAAGTATAAAGTCAGACAGCCATATTTTGAGATTTTTCAATAAAATTAGACCACTGCCCAAGCTGCTTGATTAATTTGTGGCCTTTGTCTAAAATTGAAAATTTTAGGTATAAGCAGTGTCTAATGTTTTTTTGTACATTTGTTCACCCTACACCTTCTAAGGTAAAATTCTTTGTACAATTTACAGTGAAAACCACCAAGATTTTGTCATTGGGAATACTCTGAATGTTGTGAGTTTTAGACCATATTTAAGTAATCAGTTGTTCTAATTTATAACACCTGGAGCAATCTTGATGGTTTTCACTGTAAGATGTCAAGTTTACTACTGACAATTAACAATCCTGAAAAGACATTTTTTTGTACGTGTAAAAATATGTGCAGTATGTGTCAATCTTGGAAACAATCTTAGATATCACAAGGTAAAAATGCATTTCCTTGGCAACCAGGCAGAGTGTAACATTCCATACTCTGTAAGTAAGTCACTGATCAAAATCATCATTTTATGCCTTAATTTCGGCTAAATGGTTTAAATGATATTTGTATTTTGCAAATCAGAATGGAACTGATAGTTTTAATTGGGAATCACTAACAGTTTTTGTTTTGTCTTTCAACTTTTCGTATTTATTCAGGTTGGCATGTTTTATTTATTTTTTTTGTCTTTTATGTGAAATTTTTGCAGATTTACAAACTTGTATTTTGGCATGAATGACTAAGATGTAGTGGAAACGGTTAATATAGATAGTAATGCATTTTTTATACCAAAACAGCTTATTTCAAACTACTTGTATTTGGGTGTGTTTTTTTTTAAATGGAATTTGTATTTAATTTTGTTGTTATTTAATGATTTCTTTTTGAGAATAAGAGAAAAGTCATGTCACAAACATCAATGCAAAAGATTACGAGTAAAATGTCAATTTTCAATCTTTATATTTTATTGCTTTCTGGACTTGGAATGTGTTCAAGTTCAAGAAACATTTAATAGATTATGATTCTGTTACTATACTGCAATGCAATTATTTTGATTACAACATATCCATTTTTTCCCAGCGACTTAACAGTAACAATAGAGTGCAGCTTCCTATTGAACATAAAGCTTGAGACGATGTGTTGTATGCAGGTATGTGTATGCCAAACTTGTCGTCTTGTTTTGGAGTAAGAAATACTTTTCTGCAATACCGGTACTTCTAAGTTGCATAATAGGTTTTTGGAACAGTTAATTATTGTATGATATTCTATAGAATTTAATGAGGTGCTTTGTAATAAAGTACAGGTTTTAGATGTGAAATAAATTGAATTTTTAAATCCTAAAAACTTGTAATGTATGTGTATAACTATTATTTAACTTAAAAAGGAGGCATATAAAATATGTTCAAACTGAATCCAGTGTAAGTAAACTGTCTTTTCTTCACAGACTTGCTTGTATTATACCATTCTTGGTCATGTGACCTGTTGTTTAAGGCGTATGTTTATAACCATATACACCTAATTTTCATTTTGTTTTTTATGTGTATTTGTAAATTCTGCATTTACTAGTCCTTGATTAGAACTGCAACTAAGTTCTTGCTCAACCAATCAAAAAGTTGGCTACGGGTCAACCATCAATATTTTGTAAAAATCACTTTGCCTTAAGCCCTCTACCCATAAGATAGTGAGGTTTACATTCTTATGCATACATGTACCTACGCTGAAGAACCTGATATAAAAACCATGCAATATCCTCAGTGACTTTGACAGTATTCGCTGTGCTATCATATCTTGGGCATGACACCAATAACCACAATCTCATCTGTCAAATTACTAAACTAATCGCATACATTTTCACCTCATACAATTCTTCCGAAATGCTGTTTTTTTTTTCAGAACAAGTATTTGAGATGCAAAATGAGACATGCTCTTCTCTATTTCGCTTTTATTACATAATCAATGTATGAAATCTACACACGAGAAAGGTTCATATATACAAAAGACGCTGAATACAGATCTGCTGGAATGCAAGAGATATATCACAATATATATATTTGAAAAAAAACAATAAACCCAGCATTTCACATTTTGTTTTATACATACAAGAGTTTAGATTAAGAGACAGAATGTTCTCTGTAATGTTGTACGGGTAAGAATCAAAGACAGTTGTAGAATTATATTATTATTTACAATACATTGCACACAATTTGATTTAGGAGTACATACATTATATTACTACACAACATTCAAAGTACAATTAGTCATCATCAACCCCCCCCCCCCCC